ATACTTCATATGTCATCAATTTTATTTCCGAATCTGGTATGACAATGACTCCATTGTGTTATTATTTCAAAAAAATCTTATTGCTCATGGAAAAATGCCGCTGTTATATGTTACATCCGTAGAAAAATTACAGTGGTTATATAACTCGCACGGAATGCTATTTCATCTCGAAACTTATCACATGAATATTTTCACGGTTATATGCCCCATAGGAAATTTATAATATTAATAATAATAATAATATAATAATCTTCATTTTCCTTCAAGACAAAAGTTACGAATTTTGTAAAGGAATCGTCAAAGAAACAAGAAGAGAAATGGAGATCGGAGATTGAAAAACTCCTGAAAAGAAGAGGATGAAAACTACCTACTTATACACAAAAAATTTTCAAATCTATAATAACACTTATCAACAAGATAATTCTTGAGTGTTCGTTTGAACATTGAAACAGTTTTAGATTCTTTTATAAAATCTGGTAGCAAATTATGAACACGTGGAGCCATCTGGTCAGGAGATCCGGAAGCTAATTTGGTTGTTCCAAATCGTACAAAAATATTGGTGTTTTGTCTTGTATCAATATTATGTTCACATTTATTCAGTGCAAACAATTTATTTCTATTCTCGAACACAGATAAGCACAGGTCAAAAATTAAAAGACTATAGGGACAGTTAAAATTTCAACATTTCTGAAAGCTGGTCTGCATGAATCGAAGAGACCTATGCCTCTAATGATTCGTATAAGTTTTTTTGTGCTATGAAGACATCGAGCAGCTAAAGGAAAAACCTCAGAAGCATAGCACAGCTTCAGCAGCTGATCATGCGCATTCAAATTGGCTTATAGTTTTTCCGAATTTGACCAAATTTCAGGTTTCCACTTCAATTGCGGGGCATTACATCAAAATGATCCTAACCTGAATCATCATTTAGCGCAATATAACAGTGATATTTAGTATTTGCATTTTTAGTATACTATCCCCCGAGGCATCATTAGTCATTAATGTTTGAACAATAATGAGAAATGACATGTCTTCAACCCAAGTGAATAAAATACTCTCAATGTCAATATGTCTAATGTTTAACTTGTCTATATAGCTTCGACAATCCTTAAAAACATTGAAAATATTATATAGGGGTTTTTTCGTTTTGTCGTGGTTTTCAATATATTATATATGGGGTGTTGAATATCGCTGATATATCTGTTTTCTAATACGAATCTGTTGAAACAAAAGCTATATAGATTCGAAATCCGGTGAGCACATTAATGTCGGTAAATATTACATTGATTAACCTAGAATGATTGTATATTATTTCTTTCGCTTTTTTGACTACCTGTATATATTTCAAAATATTTCAAGACACAATGATGAAACTCAATATGAATTGAGGAATCTGAAACATAAATTTTTCAGTTAATTCTGATTCACCCGTTATATCTTTGTCAGACGTTCTGGATGTCATGGAACAAAAGAAGTGGGATGGTAGAGGGGGTAATTCGCAATCCAACTAACCGTATATGTGGTTATCCAATTGTTGATAGTTCAAAATTTATTCAATTTTTCATTTAAAAAAATACAAAAAGGCTGTTTTGAATCACCCCGTATGTTATACCATTCCGGAATCTGTATTAAATGGGAAACTTTTTCTTATAGTTGGTTATATTTGTGGGGGAGTTTTTAAATCTGCCAGCGGCATTGAAAAATCAACTGGAATAAATATTTAATTCCTAATTAACAGGAAGTTAAACACATCAGGCCATACAAATTATTTCTGGGGAATGGTACAGGGTGATTCACCATAAATGTCCGCCCCACCTCTCTCTAGCTCAGTTATTTTTTAACCGATTTCAAAATTCGAAATATCATCTCAAATGATTTTCGATAAAGTTTTTTCAGCTACATCAGAGAATACATGGTGCTCGAAACAAACGATCTACAGGGTACTATTTGATTTTTTTGGAATGGATCACCCTATTTTTCATTGTATTATTAGATTCTCCCTGAAGAGCTGATTTGATCTATGTACCACACTTGGGGTCTAGCGGGAATGATTACAGAGATACAGAGTGTTCAATACCAAGATATTTCAACTTTAGGATTTTTTTGTGGCGAAACTATTCATTATCGATCAAAACGGCTTTCATGTCCGTATCTCAACTTTTGATTTATTATCTACTGACATTTAATAATTGGAACAGATACAGAGTGATCAGAATTCTGAATCTCGAACCATCCCTTTGATCCATGACTTAAGGGACACCCTGTATAGTACGCCTATGCTAATCAAAAGGTCTCCTGGATTGCAACAATTAATATCATTCTCGCAACTACAAGGTTATATATCACATTATTACATGTTATTCGTGGAATTTGCGAGGTATCCCATTTATTTTTGGCATAAAGTTACTATTAGTGGGTCTGACCGCAACCTATATTTTGTCAATGTTAACGCTAAAAATACACTCAACTGAGCAAAACGAGAAACAAATCCAAAATTCAAATTGAATTCTAAGAAAAGGAATCTGATTAAGAAGGATCCAAATTTCTCTGCACCTGTTATGGGTACAATCAGATCCAATAAACATATGTCGTACATGCATGGCTGGTGATAGCAAGTCTGATCAGAGCGACATGTTCTTTGCATCTGACTGTACCTACTATACCAGAATGTGACCCAGGAGCTATGTAACCAAATTCAGTGTCAGAATGACACCGACTAGAGCTGGGCCAATACTCTGAGAAAAGTATTTGAATAGCAAGTATCAAATACTTCCGTATATTGAAAATATTTAAATATCAAATATTTTCGAAGGCCAAAAAGTATTCAAATAACAAATTCAAAAGTATTTGAGAAGTTCTCAGTAAGTATTTAAATACAGTTTTTGAGTATTTAGGAAGTATTTAAATACTTCCAAAGTATTTGAGTATTTGAAAGGTATTTGAATACGCTGACAGTATTCGAATATTTCCGAAGTATTTGAGTATTTTCAAAGTATTCGAATATTTCCAAAGTTAAATACATTCAACTTATTCAAATATTCTCAAGGATTTCCATACATTCATGTTACTTGAGTATTTTTGACGCTTTCAATTTAATTGTGTAATGTAGATTTGAGTAATTGAGGCACTTAGGCTCATCAATGCTCGAACAAATATGCCTGAATTAATTTTTTTTTTCCGGGAAAAACTAAGAGATCCTATATAAATGAAGTTTTTATTGCATATATAGAGACCATTGTTTGGCAAGGTATCATAATCTCATAATGATATATCGGAATATTTATAAATCAGCTGAACATTTTCGGATATTTGGAGAATTGGAAATTGTCGATCGCATTCTGACCCACCCTGTATACAAACGATGGTAGAAGTCTATAGTGTCTCAAAGTAGAGTATTGTGAATGAAGCAAGTAAACTCGAAATCATCTCTTCTCTTTCATTTTACAAAGTACATGTTTCGGGCCTATATAGGTCCATCATCAGCAAATATTAAATGGTGTGAATAAAATAAACAAATCAGTACCATATAACCAAAGTGTATGGATTGAAGGAACGAACATAATTTACTGTCAGAGATCGTGTTTGAATGATTATCAATTAATAATTCGGCTCTGTTTGAAAACAGCCTATTAAATGTTTCTGCAGATAATTTTGGTTCTCGCATACTCAGTTTTTTCCACAAATCTTTGAGAACATTGTTTTTCTGAATATTTTTCACAGTTCATGTTTTCTCATCGTTGATTAAAATTTAAATAACTTGACATTCATCTGATCCTCAAAGGCAAAATAGAGCATATTAAGACAAAAAAATGTACATCTTCAATGAATTTTCCAAAATTTGTTCGTTTCCGAAGGTGATCGGGCATATAATGAATGATTGTATTTCCAAAATTCAACCGGTTATCAATTATCATTGATCACTGAATGAAGTACGTGGCGAAAGTATATTTTATCACCATTCACTCAATGCCAATTAATATTTCATTGAATATGTTTATTTGGATTGTCCAAATAAAACGAATCGAAATGCTATGGTAATTCGATATTTACTTCAGTTAGTTCAATTCAGTCAAAACATGTTGATACGTATATACACGTATCAATTATTTTATATATTTGTGTGGTCTTTATGATGAAAAAACACAGCTATATAAATAGGAAAACTTTTCATGGGCTCATGATTATTCTGAAAACAGAATGCAAACTTTCATCATTAGCTTTCGCTTCTATTTATAATAGAAAATGAGATACTTCAAACTAGCCTATTTTCTGAAACAATAAGATAATAATAATAATTGTTATGTCTAATTTCATGGTCACTTACAATACGATAGCTTTTTTTGCCGAAGTAAACTCGACATGTATCAATAAGAATTTTGTTGCCTGGCAATTTGACGAAAAAAACTGCCTCTGAAAAAATGACTCGTCCTACGGACTCTGGCAGTTTTTTGAGTTGAATTAGCTTATAGTCAGTTTCCTTAACATAACTTGAAAGTTGTTGTATTTAGCGTGAAATGTGTAATCATCTAAAAGATAGCACTCGTGAAGGTCTACAAATGAAAAAAAAACTTCCAAAATCGGTTGAAAAATGGCCTAGATATGGCTGTTTTTAATATATAGTTCGGCAGCCATCTTGGAATGGCCGCCATATTGGCCAGTCGCGTATCTGAGACCTCCACCATCGCATTTCTTGTTCTCCACTTGAAGAGATAAAACTACCCGCAATACTTAATCATCAATACTGGTTAAGGAAACTGACTATTATGGATGGCAACAAAAATCGAATTATAAATGACAAGTTCACATCGACCAAAAAAAGCTAGAGTGTTATTCGGTAAGACAATTTAGTTCATGAAACATTTGTGTATGGCTGGTTGTGATGCTTTCAAAAGATAGTTTCCGTTATTGTCGCTGGAAAAGTTAGGACAAACTTTTTTCGCTGACAAAATCACGTGGCTTGTGGGATTTTTCATACATGAATTAAATTGTATAAAAATACTTACGATTTGGAATGAAAGCCATTGCTGCCCCACAAATCATCTCTAGACTGCCGACTGTCCTCCTATACCATTTAGATGGGATCTTGAAGTCGAACATTTCCGACAATGGAAATACTTTGGCATATTTCACATATTCTTTCCTCTGAAATAAATGAAGTCGGATTTTTAGGAGATGAATACTTTTCTGCCTATCGGCATTTATTCAACTAGTTTGAAGATAGTCGTCACGATACGACTAAGTCGTGGATTCATTGACATGATTTTTAGTTTATATTGAGATGAAATAAAAGCCTTATTCTCCAAATGCAGGCTGTCACAGGTAGACACTTTTGAAAGACATTTATCATCAACACGCTGTAAGGCTTGGGTCAGGCTAAAATATTATTTTATGACATATACAGGGTGTATCTAAATAACACCGAAAAAATTCAAGGGTGTTTCCTTGTGATATTCTAGCAAATAAGGTTCATTTGAATATATGTCCTAACTTGCTCCGTTTTTGAGATACAGGATGTTGAAGTTGGGAGTATTAATTGTATTTATTTATAACCTCCCTGTATAAGCTTCCATGGTGCCAAAATTCAGTATAGATGGGGACTGTTAAAGCCCTAAAATTTCGGAATGATTCTAATTGGGGTTATTGAGTAATCTCAATTTAAGTCTTGAAAACATCTACATTAAAATTTGGAGTCAAATCGAATTTTTATTGTTTCTTCAAAAACTAACCTAGATACGAAAATAACACATTGGTTAAAAAAGTTGTTATTTCAATAGTTCAATCCAATGAAAATATGAAACTCAGAAAAACCATGACATTCACCATGAATATCGATAAATTTACCCACTGTGACGCTACTGGAAATATTATTTCGAGTCTAATTGCACTAGAAGAAGCTCCATATTACTATTAACAAAACCATTGAGCTGGTGGTAAAGCTAATGTCACTGTCATATCGCACCAGCTTACGAATTCTTCGTATACTTTGTCGTATATATTTTTTTTTGTTTACTTGGCAATAAACTCGATTTTGCTTCCTCAGCTGCCTCACTAATTTCTGTTGGAGTACAATTCACACTTTCTTCATCACTAGAATTCATTTTGAAATCACTAATGAATTATGTATTATTACACAAATTGATAGTTAATATGGCTACTGGCCTATTAATTCCTATTTCGAAAAATTGACTGAGTTGCCATGGTAACGTTGATTCCATACTTCTCGATTAATTATTGTATTTGCGATATGGATACAGGATACAATCGGATACAATACAGTCTCACTGCAACCGTGATGTATTTTTATTGTGCTTGAGGGGTGAAGAGATACCTACATGAGATATCAAATATATACAGGTCGTGCATAAAATGTTGTATGTATTTCGGGCGTAACTAGCTTTCATGGACCTAGGCGTGTTAATAGCCCTCGCTATCGCTCGTTCTATTACTTACACGCTGCGGTCCATAAAAGCCTATTTTACGCCCTTGATACATAAATAACAACATTGACAAAGTAGAAGATGAACAGTACAAAAATAAATATAGTCAAAGTACACACAACCATGTCAACTATGAATAAAATAAAAAAATAATTTTTAATTGATTTTGCTCATTTCTTCAATAAGGCATGACCAACGAATCACCTGATACATTTTCTGATACTTTATACACATGTTTTCAATCCACACTACTAAATGTCTACCATACCAGTCACAAATTATTCAAAGGTTTGAAAAAATCAATGAATTATTGTCTGATCATGACAACACCTAATATTATCACAAAAAATAGAATTGAATAGTGTTCTCTGATTTTTGTCCGCATACATATTCACTACTTACCCACATTTTGATTCTGAATAATATTTTCTTGGATTTGGTTAGTTAAAAATAGAATAATGTTTCGGATTCTCCATATTTATAATAACGTAAGCATTCTGATGTACTCTTCTCCAATGCATTGATATAAGTTATCGCCTGCATTCTTTTTGCTTGATGTTGAGCAATCTATTATGTCGTATTCATCATAGGTATGTAGGTATTACTTTAGATTTATTCAACATATTTTCAAATACACATTTTTTGATGATGGTTTATTTTTTTAGAACAAAATCATAGGTATGTAGGTATTACTCTAGATTTATTCAACATATTTTCAAATACACATTTTTTGATGATGGTTTATTTTTTTAGAACAAAATCATAGGTATGTAGGTATTACTTTAGATTTATTCAACATATTTTCAAATACACATTTTTTGATGATGGTTTATTCTGGAGAAAGAATATTCTCTTGCAAGTACCTAATCAGACCGTTACAGTAAAGACATTTCTTGCGGCATTTCAAAGATGCATGGATTATGCCATCAATTCTTCCGGATAGTGAAAAAGTTTGGAGTAAACAAGTGTATCAACTGAAAAAAAATTGGTAATTCTCTGGAATATTTCCATTAATCCAGAATTACCATTTTTAACCACTCAGAAATCAACCAGGTCCAAAATTTGAGTACTAAAATTGTATGCAGGAAAACCAATGGAACACTGTTTGATTGTATTCCTTGTGCACTTTTCAAATTTTGAATTAAATTCTGAGAATTCGATAATATAAAATGTTGTTTTGATTACACAAAATTAATAGTGGAAAGAGAATCTGTGTACTATCAGCAAAATACTGGGTGATTTTTCAGTTACGACCCTACTAAAAAATCTTGGTTATGAAGGGTAAAATTTATGGTATTTTCAGAATCATCTCGGTGACCTCATTCTACTGTTAACGTATGTCCCTTTTCTAATAGAACACACTGCACCCATCAAAAACTGTTCCATATTATTTCTTTGTTTCAAAAAATGTTGCATATCTTTAGCATTTTTCAAGAAGAATTAGGTTTACTGGAAGGAAAAGACAAAATGAAATATTCTTCAAACAAGTTCGAAATAATCTATCCAGATACAACTCATTCATCAATTTTTTTTTAGGTAGATTTTTTTTAGGTATGTATGTATGATCAGATTCTCTGATAATTTAAACCAACCAGATTCTTGGAAAAATCACGTGAGATCAATTGCTAAAAGTGCATCCCAAAACCTTGGTTTTCTGTTTCGAGCCAGGAGCTATTTCACTTCCAGTCAGCTGCTCATGATCTATAATTCACAGATTCGACCTGTCTTGGAATACTGTTCCCATATTTGGAGTGCAGCACCCAAACATACCCTGAAATTGTTGGATTCTGTCCAAAAAAGGGCAATTCGTCTCGTGGGCGATGCCTCGCTCACAAACTCACTCACTTCTCTGGAACACCGTAGAAGAGTTGGCGATCTGGCTCTATTTTAAAGATATTTTCATGGTCGATGTTCTTCTGAAATATCAAAAATTGTTCCTCCCTTGGCAGTCCCCGCGAGATTAACCCGTCGAGTTGAGGCTTCGCACCCCTTCGTGGTCACTTTGAAGACCTGCAGAACATCTCTTTCCAAAGACTCGTACATCCAACGAACAGCGAGGCTCTGGAACACTTTGCCAAGGGAGAAGTTCCTCGAGGCATATAACCTCCAAAAATTTAAGAAGAACACCAATTCCTACCCTATTTCCCTTGGTTCTCACGATGTTCTCTGAACATTACAGGATATCCCTTTTCGTGGAATCAGAACATAAAAAAAATTAGATTTCATCATTTGCTTTGCCTTCCATAGCGTTCATTGATGGAGGTGAGTCTACTAGTACATCAAAACTCAAAAAGTTTTCTTCAAGCGTATTTGTGAATAAAAACTCATTATTCGATCATACAGGGGGTTTGTTGTTTGGAGCTGTAATTACTCATTTTGATGTTTTGGCGAAGGATCCATTCTTTTCGCCATAATATGAAATTTGGCTCGCCAAAATATAGAATGCAATGTCAGAATGCAAAATCATTTGATTGTTTTGATGCATCCACCAATTGTAATGAATGAAAGAAGCAATTAACAAACTGACGTTATCATTATAAGTTCTCACTATTGCATGTAATACGTGCGATGCAAATTGTCATGAAAATGAAAATACATCAATGAACTTTGAAGAATTCGTGGTGAAAACATCAACAATCACTTCAGCCACAATAAACCGATTCATCCGCACAATCAAAAATATGTTCGCTAGCCAGGCAACAGGCCAAGAATGTTTCGTATTATTGTATAACCGACGAAAAAACCACAACGATCTCCCACTCACCAGATCTTTATGCAGCTCTTTCGACAGCACATTGGACACTTTGATGAGCCCTACGAAAATGAAGAACAAACCCAGCAGGATCGACAGCGAACGCAACACAATCGAGCCCATCTTCTTATTGTTCATGGTTTTTGTTTCGTTTTTTCACCGCGGTCACTAGACGCACATTTTCATTCTCAGACGAGGATTTTAGGGTTTATTGGCGTTTGGAGGGTTGTCCATTTTGGATGTGGAATCGGGGGAAATCAATATCCCGCGCGTTCCCCAACATCTCGTGTTCGCGTCGATCTAAAAATATTGTTCGCGGATTTCGAATATGCGGCTCGCAAAACGCGCCGACGTCGTATACAAGGTGTCCCATTTGAGGACGGACAAGTCGGACAACTTTTCAGGCAACCCACACAACTCATAATCTTTATACCGGGTGCCAACGAATCTATTAGACAAGTAATAACTTCTAGACCATTAGGTGTATCAAAATGAGATTTGATATAGGTAAATGGTATGTGAAGAGGAGAGTTTTCACATATTTTTCACTTTCTGGTCACTTCTGGTTTCATCGGAAATGGCTCCGGTTCTAAATTTTTAAATGGAACTCCCTGTATATTGTAGCATTTTTGAATATCTGAGACAATTCTAGATCAGAATGTGATATTTTTGAAAGTTTTTATGCCTACTAAATTTTTTCGGAGTCACTTTTGAAATTACATCTAATATCAGAAAATTACAATCGCGAAGTTTTAGTGACGTATTTTCGTCAGTAATATTCAATTTATGTTCTTATCTGTAATCCGATCGCAAATAAATTAGTATCGTTAGATTCGTCGAAATATCCTTTTTTCGGAAAGTCCTTGTCAAAAAATGGTCACCATTAGAAAAATAATAGATAGGCACGAAAATGTAATTTTGCCAACTTGTCTCATTCATATCTATCATACTTGTCACTAAAACTTCGCGATTGTAATTTTCTGATATCACCTGAGGTCGTTAGATTAGTTTACTTCCTATCATGGCCACCTAGATGGAATTTCGAAAAAGCGACTCCGAAAAAATTAAGTAGGCATAAAAACTTTCGAAAATATCACATTCTGATCTAGAATTGTCTCAGAAATCCAAAAATGTTACAATATCCAGGGTGTTCCATCTAAAAATTTAGAACCGGAGCCATTTCCGGTGAAACCGGAAGTGACCGGAAAGTAAAACATATGTGAAAACTCTCCTCTTCACATACCATTTACCTTTACCAAATCTCATTTTGATACACCCTATGGCCTAGAAGTTATAACTTGTCTAATAGATTCGTTGACACCCGGTATATTATAATTATACCTTTTCAACTTCAATTTCGGAATCGGTGAGTTATATTTCGGAAAAAGTAATCCCGATTTCAGAATTGGTTAGTTCGATTTCAGAAATGGTAAACTCAATTTCAGAATCGGCGAGATGAATTTCAGAAAAAGTCCATTCAATTTCAGAAATGGTAAGTTGTATTTCAGAATTATTATTGGTATTAGGTTCAATTTCAGAAGATGAATCCTTTTATATGTTCGAAATGTTTTTAATTGCAAAAGAGAAGATTGTTTACAGTGGATGGAACGGTGTTTGAGAGCCCTATGTTGAATCAGATTGAACATATATGGGGTGCCTCAGAAGTGAAGAGCTTCTTGCAAGAGTATCGCCAAAGGGTCATAGCTGGAGATCCGAACAGATTGCTCAACCAGATAGAATTCAGACTGCGATGTCTTGAAGAATGTTCAGATCATTCAATGAAAATGATAATACCTCAAATGTGTTTGCATTCTTATAATCATGTGCAACGCCACTATCTTCCAGCACCTTCCAGCGATTCAGATGGAAGGCATCTGTGGATTAAATTGTTTTTGAAAAGTTGAATATTTTAAATATGGTTTGTTAATCTCACATGCAATTGGGAACATTTCGAACAAATATAAGGATTTTTTTAATGATATTGAACCTACCAATTCTGAAATACAACTTACCATATCTGAAATTGAATGGACTTTTTCTGAAATTCATCTCACCGATTCTGAAATTGAGTTTACCATTTCTGAAATCGAACTAACCAATTCTGAATTCGAGATTACTTTTTCCGAAATATAACTTACCGATTCCGAAATTGAAGTTGAAAAGGTATAGAACACGCGATCCTATGGTTTCATACCAAATTTCTGGACAAAACATGGGCATTCTAATATGCGTCAAATTAAATTAATCTCCGACTTACGTGATGACATGGTAAGACAGGTGAGGAAAGAATCATGAGACGTAGGTCATAGTCCAAGAACTACTGCAAATTTCGACCGTCATCTGATAACAAAATGTTATATGCCCGAAAGGCATGTTAAAACATTGTAGTTTATCGAACCGCACCTGTGCCAATCACACTCCTGAACAAATGATTGAAAAATTGCACTTTCCTGTGCGGAAATTTGAACTAGATTTCTCGATTTGATAAGGAGATAAGAATTATGCCATCTATACCTTTTCAACTTCAATTTCGGAATCGGTGAGTTATAATTCGGAAAAAGTAATCTCGATTTCAGAATTGGTTAGTTCGATTTCAGAAATGGTAAACTCAATTTCAGAATCGGTGAGATGAATTTCAGAAAAAGTCCATTCAATTTCAGAAATGGTAAGTTGTATTTCAGAATTATTATTGGTAGGTTCAATTTCAGAAGATTAAATCCTTTTATATGTTTGAAATGTTTTTAATTGCAAAAGAGGAGATTGTTTACAGTGGATGAACGGTGTTTGAGAGCCCTATATTGAATCAGATTGAACATATATGGGGTGCCTTCAAGTCAGAAGTGAAGAGCTTCTTGCAAGAGCATCGCAAGGGTCATAGCTGGGGATCCGAACAGCTTGCTCAACCAGATAGAATTCAGACTGCGATGTCTTGTGGAATGTGCGTGCAGATCATTCAATGAAAATGATAACACCTCAAATATGTTTGCATTCTCATAATCATGTGCAACGCTATTATCTTCCAGCGATTCGGATGGAAGGATTCTGTGGATTAAATTGAGATTATAATTATGTTATTGAATTGTTTTTGACAAGTTGAATATTGAAAATATGGTTTGTTAATCTCACATACAATTGGAAACATTTCGAACAAATATAAGGATTTTTTTTCTGAAATTGAACCTACCAATTCTGAAATACAACTTACCATTTCTGAAATTGAATGGACTTTTTCTGAAATTCATCTCACCGATTCTGAAATTGAGTTTACCATTTCTGAAATCGAACTAACCAATTCTGAAATCGAGATTACTTTTTCCGAAATTGAAGTTGAAAAGGTATAGTACCAAATGAATGGTAGATTTCAAAAACCAACCTGTGCCATCCCCTCAGAATCTGAGCCAAATTCACTGCACAGCTACTTATTTGCGTGACACAGGAGACATTGAAACCAAATCATCCTGTATATGTCCATCGCCTATTTTTTTTATCGCTTGGAGCGCACGAAATGGAATCCCTATAATGTTGAAAGAACATCGTGCGTTCCTAGGGAGGATAGGGATAGGAGGTAGGTATTGGAATTGTTTTTGAACTTCTGGAGATTATACAGTGAGGACGTAAAAAGTCCTCCCCCCCCTTTAACCTTTGAACGGAACAAGCTAGCGAGGTCGGGTAAAATCCAGGCAAAAAGGTACTTCTTTCACTACTATTTGGCATGAAAATGGTTGTAGTCACGTGACATAGTGTCAAGTGGGCACCATCAACTTTTTTTTTTTAAATGTGAAGAGGGGTCACGTGGTACCTTGTTTTGAAGGCCTTTCGATTCTCTATCCAACTCTGCATTGTGTGTGAAAATCAGTCAAGCCGTTTCAAAATGACAAGCGTTTGAAATGTACCTGGGAAACAGTAAATCACGTTCGGATTGAATTCCAAAACCGATTTTTCAGTGTCAATAAGTGAACGATGAACATTTCGAGCATGTTTGAGCACTTGTTACAATTCCTACTTGAAATCATGTTGCAATTAAAATTTATTCAGATTTTTTATGCATTAATATTAATATTTGAAGCAAATTTCAAACGCTTGTCATTTTGAAACGGCTTGGCCGATTTGTACAAACGAAGCGGTGTTGGATAGAGAATCTAAATGCCTTCAAAACAAGGTACCACACGACCCCTCTTTGAATTTGAAAAAAAAAAGTTGATGGTGCCCACTTGATACTAGGTCACGTGACCACAACCAATTTCATGCCAAATAGTAGTAAAAGAGGTATTTTTTTGCCTGAATTTTACCCGACCTCGCTAGCTTGTTTTGTTCAAAGGTAAAAGGGGGGGGAGGACTTTTTACGTCCTCACTGTATATGTTGTTGGGGATACTTCCACAGGCAATGAATTCCAGAGCCTAGCCGTTCTATGGATGAAGGAGTTTTGATAAAGTTCGACATCTTTCGAGGTTGACAACGAAAGGATGTGCTGACTGGGCTTGTCTAGTTCGTCTGATTGGTATTGCTAGTGAAGGGATGATAGCAGAGATTTCCGAAGAACATTCCTCGTGGAAGTATCGATGGAAAAGTGAAAGGTCGCCGACCTTTCTACGGTGTTTCAATGATGTCAAAGAGTGAGTGAGTGTGGCGTCACCCACCAGGCGAATGGCTATTCTCTGGATGGAATCTAAGAGCATCAGCGTATGTTTTGGTGCTGAACCCCATATGTGGGAACAGTATTCTAGAACAGGCCGTATCTGCGCTTTGTAGATCATGAGAAGCTGTTGTGAAGTAGCTTTTGCGATGGATCTGACATGATTATCCCATGAAAGAGTGTTGCTGATGGAAATACCGAGGATAGATATGGTGGGCTTGGTGGGGATGGTGGTGCCAGACATTACAATGTCGGGCATACTGAGTTCCGCCTTTCTAGAGAAAATATACAGGCTTGAGTTTTTGTGGCGTTGAATTCAACTAGGTTGTTGGTTCCCCAGGCTTTGATTTCAGCAAGGTCTTCATTGACAGTATTGACCTGCCTGCGCCGTGAGTTCTTAGTTTCCTGGAAAGAAAAGGGAATTCTGGAAGAGAACGCAGTATGGAGGGTACTATTATCTGCAAAGCTGTGGATGAGGCAAGTTGTTACTCCCAACATATTATT